TGTGTTATTTTTTTGTTTGTTTTTTAGTTTTGGCTGAATCCTTTAATTTTCATATTTTAATTACAATATCAGCCATTCTGGTGTATAGGACAAACTGCTATTTCATGCTGCTGACCAAGCTCTATAAAAAAATACATCTGTGTTGGTCAAACAGAAGCAAAATGTGCTGACTCAATGTTGGTTCTTTTCCCAACAATCATCCACTACACGGTCTGTAATTAAGCTCTACTATCCCCCAACCATGAAGCCTGGCACCCTAGCAAGACAAAGAACATATGGATCACCATCCACACTTCACAGGTGTTCATTTTTAATACTAAAATGCAACCTATGTATTGTTTAATAAAGCCTTAAACGTCAGTCTGACGACATTAGGATTTCAAATATCTTGTGCACAACTTTAAAGTGGAACTAATGTAAAAATTTAAAAAAAAATGTGTTTTTCAGAGCAAAGCAACCAGCATTTCTAATTAACTCCGCACAGGTTTTGTGTCGTTCTTGACAAATTCAAGTTAAGACTGTTGACAAAAGGAAATTTAAGTTTAAATTTTATTTTTATTTTTTTTAAACCAGGCAAGCTGAATAGAGCATGCACAAATATGTCTGCATTAGATGAACTGCAGTTGTTACAGGGACATTCCACTACCCAAATATAAAATAAATAAAGCACTGTTTAGCAGATATACCCCAAATGAAAACATGCATATGTTTAACGATGCATTTTTTTTTTATTGGAGTTATATCTAAACACAGCTTGCAAAAAATGTAGTTCTCTTGCATGCTGCCTTTTTAAGCCCTAACGTGCTAATTCCACCCAGACCTTCTGTGGCTGTCCAATCACAGACTTGCCAATGAGAAGTCATTGTAAGACAGGTGCTCTGTGCAATTGCTGCCTTTTGAGATCAGTGCAAATAAGCTAATCAAACCAGGAAGTAATAGGACCTGTTGTCTGCTTGAAAAGCCATGAGGCGTAAAAGTGTACGTTTCTACTGAAATCCACACTATTTTCAAAATGAAAAAAATAGGACACACTTCACAAAGCAAGCTTTTTAGCTCACTAAAGTGCTTTAAAGGGCTGGAGTGTCCCTTTAAGTGGTATAAGGAAATATAACACAGTAATAGCTCAGCATCTAACAGAGGCAACAAAGTACCCTCCATAAGACAATGAATGGTCTTCCAGATTGTGTTATGCACAAAAGAAACCATTAATAGCATGGAGTCAGTGTGCAGCACTGGAAGTGAAACGACTTGAATTTCACAATTTAGGCCACCATGGCTAAATTGGAAATATTCTCCAAGTTAGGTGTGTTTTTTGTTTTTAGTGAACAATCCTTTATATGTAAATTGACTACTGAGCTAACACTCGGTGCAGCATTTACACACGGTAGTACTGTTGCTGTCCTGTTCATTAGATGCTTTGTAACATTGTCCATAACTTTTAAACTAAACGTCGCTTAAACAATCACAAACTACTTGAAAAGCATGAGCTATAGCTAATTTTATTACCAAATTTACAGAACTTGTGGGTTGTGTAGGTAACAAGTCTGTTTTATCACAAGCTGTGGCACAAAACCACTGTTTAAAAAAAAAAAAAAAAAAAAAATGATTTTACAAAATGAAAAATGTAAGAATCTATTCTATGATCCCCCCGATTATTTATGTCTCAAAGCTCCTTTTACACCTGGTGTATAAATGGGCTTCATGAATGATTCACAATTTGGGTTGATTGGCACTCAGATGACCATCTTGCTCTGAATGGGGAGATAAATTCCACATTGCAATCCATTAATATCCTTGGAAAATTGGCAAAATGTGAATTCTTTTGTTACTAAATAAATATCTTGCTTACTAAATGTGAATTGATGGGAATTCAAAGTAATTTTCAAAGTTAAGGCCAGAGTATCCAAAGTGAAAGCGCAGCTGACTTTTATTTTTATTTTAAATTTGGGTATTTTTATCTTTAATTTGAATTTACTGAATACAGAACTGTTGTAAATGAAAACCTATATTATGTAACATTTTGCGTCTTGGCGGAGTTGGATAATTTGTTTTTCCAAAATCCACTATTTTACTTTAAATCATGCAATTTGGTGTTTGGTGTTCAGTTTGGTGATGTTTTGGACTAGACCCAAAAAGTATATGGTACAAAAAAATGCCTCCGCTAATTGGAAAAAAGGAGTTCTGACCTAAGAATGCATTCATGTTTTTATATAAATGGCACTCCTATGCAACATGTAGCTTGGTCTACAATTCTAAAGGAGCTATTATGAACCCATGACATGGCAATGTATTCATCGCTGGGAATGTCACTAATAAAAGGCTGAAAATCCGAGCTCTCCCTCCATCTTCCCTGATCTTGGCTAATTTATTGTTGTGGCATTGTGTGGGGGTGCACACTGTGTTGGGTGTGTAGCTGTTGTGACAGTGACACCACTTTTCTTACACTGATCCAGAAGAGGGTACAACAGCCTATTTGCACATATGGATTATTGGATCGGCTTAGTCGATTCATTGTGGGATAGAAGTTCTATAGTTGCTATTCTGTCTATATAATATCACACAAAATGCAGCACACTCCTTCATCCACTAAGCAGCAACTTCAAAGCTAACAAATTGAATTACTTTTTTTACATTTTTTTTTTTTTTTTTTTAAATATGTCAAATTATTTCTTTTTTGTTCTCCATTTAACAGTATGGACAACTTGAAACGTTCATGTACAAGGTGGCTGTAGCCTGTAACTAGCTTTCCTCTGTACATGCCATAGCGATGCACCATACATTGTAGAAACTCTCACTTCCAGCAAATATATATTATTTCTGTATGGTTAAAGGGTTACGCCAACCAGAATGACCACTTTAGTGATTTGAAGTGGTCATGGTGGTATGAGTATGTATGTGCAGGACTTCTGCTCGAAACACGGCACCTCCTGAGATATTGTTAATTGTGTGCTGGAAACTATTTGAACTCCGTTCCGAGCTGCCTAATATTAATTATGTCTATCAGAGAGCACCGCAAGCTGCCAATAGATCTGCCTGTAAGGAGAAGATTGTTTTTCCTCTGCCACCCTGATTGCGCTCCTTCCCCTTTCCCTCCATTGCATGTGGCATTTATTTCTTGTTTTTTTAAATCCATGCATGCGCTCTGAGCCAGCGAAATGTCTAAATCACGGCTTCTTAATGAGAAGCATGTGCTTGGACCATGCGCGACTAATGTGACGTCTCAGGGGGCGTGGAAGATGGACAGTTGAAGCTTCACTCTGCGCTGGATTCAAGGTGAGTAAAAGTTTTATTTTGCCGGTAGTACTGCAATTGGAGGGGGTTATTATTCCCAAAATTGCATGTTACACAGGAAAGTTCCCCAACACCCCTCAAAAAGGTTGGAGTAACCCTTTAAGATTATTATAGCTGATAACTCAGTGGGTTCGAGCACCAACTCTAGGAGCCCAGATCAAAGATTCTATAGCCAGGGAGGTCTAAATCTGTAGACATATCACCATCAGTTATTGCTTACTACACACTGGGAAGTACCTGTCAGACATCTTTAATCTGGCACTGCAAGGAAATTAGAACTGTAGCCATGCCTAGCTTTGAATTTGGCTAGGGATGGCTACAGTGTGTCTATCCAATAAATCTTGTCCATTACAAACAGCTGCCTGACTAGCAAATTTCAAAGCTCCAGGTACAACCTCCATTCAGCTCAGAAAAGGGATTTTAACGATTTGTAGTTACCTGACTTCCACTTGTGCAAGCTGTAAAACTTTAACTGTTCTTCCTGGTGACATGCAGAATGATATTATTGGAAACTGCAGGTTAGGAGGAAGGTATAGAAAGGGTAATGGGATTATGGAGAGGTTACGATATCTGATCACTAATAATAGCATAGTCTCCACCAGGCACATTACCTATAATGTGTTTAATATATTACTGCTTTAGCTGCACTTTAAAGAATAATATACTTGTCTGAAGCTGACTAGTTCTATAGATGAATTCCCTTTAAATGTTCTTCGCCATGACACTCACCCTGACCATTGTCTAGTCTTCATTCTGTCTCATCCCACGTGGCAGGTTTGTGTGGGTGTGTGCCGCCTCTTCTCTTTGTTCTAAAAGAGCAGTGATGAATTGCATCCAAGTACTGACACAAGCAATCTTGCATTTTAAACCTTACTAATAACTCTGCATGCATGTGTATCGTAACTCATTGAAGGCTGGAGTTAAGTAAATTCATGTTACTGTTAAAACCAAGAGAGTGTCATGTCTGAGACTTACATTTGCACATGAAAAAAAGATTCTGTTAAATAGGGTGGGTTTCTGCAAATTGTGAACTTTCTAATTTTTATTTATTTTTTCCCCCCACCATCGAGTTACAATCTAGCTTCCATAAACTGGGGATTTTAGCCCAACAGAGGCAGGATTTTTATTTAGCTGAATTGCTTTTCCTGGAGTCTATTTGTTACATTTCGATAGGAATTGGCACTTTTATATTTTGGGTTGTCGCACAGCCAGGGAATTTTCCCATCTGCTGGCTAATCTAAGCTATTCGTCCGCTAAGCTATAACGCACCTGCATTGTGCCCTACTTCAGCTCATGGAGAAGCCTAGGAAAGCTGTGACTGAGTGAAGTATTCCTGGAACATATTTGGGAAAGGGGTGGGGCTGGCTTGCAAAGACTGCTGAAGCTTATAACCCCAAATAAATAATGCTGAAAAAAAAATCTATGCATGTTTTCTTTGGGGCGTTATCTCCCCAAAAATTGTTTTTAATAAATACTTAAAGGGAGTGTTCTTTTAATTAGATTATAGAACAGGAAGCGCCTCCACAGCCTTTCAGTGTGAAGAATCAACTTCCCAGAAATTCATCTGGTAGAGCATTCTGGTAAATGTAGTTAAACAATGTCTATTTTGTTGGCAAGAAGGAAACGGAGAAAGACGATTGAAGCAATGTAAAATCGCTAATTTATAGAAGATACTATAAGATTTTGACACTTTATTTGTGCCTATCACCCACAAGGAGAAATACTGAGTTGGACAATATAGTTGGGACGTTTATATAGTGCATTGGTTAGAATTATTCCAATTATCTTACCCTTTTAAAAATGATTTACATTTATTTGACACTTGGCGCGCAACTCATTCTTTGTTTTTTATATAATGGAAGCTCCTGCGTAAGAACCTCCAGATCTTCGGCATTGGTACTGGATTTAGGAAGCTGTGTCTGGTGGGCTCCAGGTAAGAAGTCAAACTGTTCAAAAATGGTTTAATCCTTACAATGTGGAAGTGCCATGGCGCTCCAGACACCATAACAAGTTCAGGGAACTGTAGTGGTTGTTTTGCTTTGAATGTTTTCTTAAAGGGATTTTTTTTTTAAATGTATTTCTGAAAAATTGCATATTTTGAATTATTTTGCAAAATAAGTTAATAACTCTTTATTACAGTTTCTAACTTACCCTTGCTTCATGGAGGCACCCATCTTTAGCCCATGCCACAATTTGAAGTTCTGACAATATCACGGAGTACATGGTCGAAATGTTTTTAATTTGTGCTTGATAAGATTTATAAATGTGCTAGGTGTTGATGACCCGTAAGATTTGTGGTCGGATGATCTGTGTTTCTAAACAGATGCTTGTAGGAGGCTACCATGGAGCCAGTGTAAGCACTGAGAAATTGTATATACCTGTATGTATTCATTACAAAATACTACACACAGGCTATAATGCATGTATTTTTTTTATTGTAAATTAAAACAATTTTCCTTTTAAGCAGCTTGTACAAGGATGGGTGTAGTGTGCAGAGTGTACCTGAATAAAGTCTTATGATATTACGTCTGCGACGTACACTCCGGTCACAATGTCCTAAGGCTTAGTGGTGGTATATGGTTTAGAATCAGTACTTATAAGAAGGTAAACTACAAACGGCAGTAGTTTAGACTAGCTTTTTCATCACAACACATTTAACAATTAGAAAATGTAAGAAAATATGCAATTGAAACGCCTCTATACAATATTCATATACAAAGCCATCCCCATACATAAGGGAAGCCATTTTTCTTCTTCTCCCTTGGTTTCTTGCCCTACACTTTGCTCGTAGAAAAATAGATATTTCAAAATGGATCTGGATTATCACTTTCATTTTTTTATTTAAGTATGTTTTCTTTCTTTCTTGAAGAGGGTAACACAGTCTTTAGGATTATTGGTAGACTCAGTGTTACTCAAATGGAGTTCAAGAGAATTCTAAAAAAAACGTTTAGACCAAAATAGCTTATTAAGCAAAAATCCTCAACAATATTGTCAGTTTCATCATTTTGGTCTAAAATGAGAATTCCATTTCCTAGTTAAATGAACAACTCTGAACCCTTTCCACATTCGTTTGTATAAATAAACCCCCATGGTCATGATATTGGCATTGTAGATTGCGAAATTGAGTGGTTTATCTGTCCTTCTTGTAGAAGGAATGGGGGAGAAATATTTCTTGTATATTTGTCTTAAGTCCTTTCGAGTAGCCTTTATCAGTTAGTGACCTATTGGCAGAAGCGTGCCTCCTTGTCTTGTACCACTCATTGGTAGTTTGGTTGGTGAGGCACAGGTAAAACACAAAGCATCCATAGCCTCCCACGAGAAGCACCAGAACAATGAGGAATCCCAGTGTGAAGACTATACGAGGAAATGTTAGGAAAAGGTGCTGCAGGGACAAAAAAATAAATACAAATTAAATTAGTGTTTAAATGCAGACTAACAAGGAAAGGGAAATAAATGCAGAGCAGATCACAACAGAATCTCTAGATAGATCATAAGTCAGCCACTGGTCTTTACAGGAACTTGTTGCTACAAAGTTTGCATCTATTGCATACAGACGCCTATCAGGACAGTGAGCAATTCTCAGTTTAGTTGTTGCTTATTGGAAATTCACACCAGAACCCTCTGAGCAGAGATAGACATATTAGATAGATATTTTTTTTTTTTTTTTTACATGAAAGTGTTGCAACAGCATAGGTTGGACTATGTCATATCAAACCACAATATACAGGTAGCACCAAGAAACATACTCCAAACACAATAGTATATAATAAAAACCCACAGGATATAAAGAGTCCACAATAAAACTGTTTTTATTTGGCGCTACCTGTATATTGTTGTTTGACTTGTAGTTTTCTTGGGGGTTGGAAGGATTCCCCTATTATCAGGTGTGCTGCCTCCCATCCTAGTGTCCTTAGTTTGCTTAGCGCTGCTCTATTCCTTGTTCAGCATAGGTTGGACTATAACTGAATCGCGCGGTCAATCTATCATAGCGCCACAAACGATACCTGAATAATGACGGCAATGTTCATCACGTGTTCCTGTCCATCAATATTAACATAGGCTGCAGTCATCATGTGAGAGAGCAGCACCACCTGCAGGAGGAATGCGGTAATGACCCAGGCCAAGGAGAGGACAGTGAGCGTCAAACTGAAGAGGTAGAGCAGAAAGTATCTGATGTTTAAAGCTCCAATACAGTTATTTACCCAGACGCAGTGATGGTCAAAGCGTTGTACACAGCAGCCACACACACCTAGGGCATAGAGAAACAAATTTATAGGAATAGCATTGCTAAAATACTGACATTGCCAGGGTTATTCACGAAAGTAAGCCATGTCGGGAAATTAAAGGAAATTGAAAGTGTGTTTTTAATTCACGGCACAAATCGCAGAATTGGAAAAAAAAATGCTGAGTTAACTATGCTTCCAATTTGGCTACTTTGGCCTCAAATGTTTATTTCCTCTCAATTCACCCTTGGTGACTCCCCTGTCTCTGTGTTCCAGGTCTGAGTTTGTTTAACCCCTTAAGGACACATGACGGAAATATTCCGTCATGATTCCATTTTATTTCAGAAGTTGTGTCCTTAAGGGGTTAATGCATTTCTATGCCGGAGGACAGGTGTGAATGTGAAAATGATAATTGCCTGACCCACCGCACACTTTTTGTTCATTATTTTTATTGGAGATTGTGGTTACCATACCCAGTGATGTATTCTGCTGCCCTAGGCATGACAAAACTCAGCAGCACCTTACCCACTTCCAAATTTCTCTTCCTGACAGACACACGCCCTCACTAATGCATGCACTGACATACACTCACGGACGATACACAGTCATTGTCACACACACTGTTTAACACGCACGCGCGCATTGGCCGGTGTGCGCGAGGAAGCTGAGCAGAGGGGAGCTCGCCGCCCACCTCTTGCATCACTGCATGCCAGCCTCAAGAGGTCCTGAGGTGGCCAGCTCGTGGGCCCCCCAGGACAAGAGGCAGGCAGGGTGTTTGGGGGGGGTGGCTTTTTTTGCCGCCCCCTGAAAGTGCCACCCAAGGTAAATGCCTTGTCAGCCTTGCTGTAGATACAGCCCTGACCATACCAACTTTACCTTAAGTGGTTAAGCTACTTAACGAATTGTTTAACCCAAAAGTTTGAGGTAAGACACCTTCTGGCACGATCACAACTTAATGGACCTGAATTTGTAATGGACCCGGTGTGGTCCTTTAATACAAAGATGTCAAACTGTGTCACTAAAACTCTCTCAACTCAGGTAGGTGTGTGCAGTTTGACAGCCCTGGTGTGATGTTTATAAACAGATTCACAAGGCTGGGATATTTCTACCTCCAAAACAACGAGGCATTTTTCATAAAATATAAGGCACTGATTTGAACGTAAAATTATAACAAGAATAGAATACACAATGCATGTTTACCAACCTGAGAATTAATTAATTAGTGCCGCCACATACCAACCCAAATATCTACATCTAAGAACTTGATTTTGGCATCCAATCTGCTGGGATAGATGTGTGACTCATGCAGTGTCCATCTGTGCTTGTGAGCCTTCATTTTCTTTTTCCCCAATTACTCGTTAAAACTAGTCAAAACAAAATAATTCTGATATGTTTCTAAAACAGAATACCAAATAGTAGGGATGGGCATTAAAAGACCACTATAGCCCGCTGGACTGGTTATGGATGGTGCCAGGAGTGCCATCCCCAATCTTTGTAAAGTTTGAAAACTTACTCAAGTCCCACTTGGGGCATACAGAACATGCATCTGTTATTCTCCGGGTAGAAGAATCTATAGAGCTAATCAGGGCAATGAAGGAGCGCACGCACTGGCTGAGATAGTCAGCTGAGTGCATTCAGCCAATGAGAACAGTACTGCACGGCCCTGCTTGGCGCTGTCGAGCTCGCTGGATTCTCCTGCATGCGTAGAATTAAGCCCATTTCCTTTTACTCGTATAGTTACCTGCTATTACCCTGTTTTGATTTATTAGCTTCATGGAAAAGGCAAGATTTGGAAATTTAGAGTGCAATTCCTGTTCACCCCTTCCAATGGATACAAATGGATGATAGGAGTTGCAGTGTAAGTAAAGCTGTATTAATACAGATTCGTCATGCTAGTAGTTAGAAGTTCTCACCGCAGTGTTTGGATCTGGCTGGCTTGCACAGGTGACAGGTCTTACACACATTTCCAATGTGGTACAAGATCTCATCATATCCATATACTTGTGTGAACAATGTTACATTTTGCTTGGTTATGACACCTGTAAGAGATGAGACAATATTAATAAATTAACTCGCCATCGCTTATTTACAGCAGAGCTTTGTACATTTTATTAAAGTGTCCTTCAGTATATTCTATAATACCTGGGTCCGTTACACAGCACTTGTAGAAGAAATAAAGGTTGACGGATATTAAAATATATGGCAATAAAAGAAACCGCAAATGCATTTCCAGTTCCACACAGTAGCCAAACACTTCCCAGGTGTACTCCGCAAAAACCAAAGCATCTAGGATGAGATGTAGAACAACAAAGGCTCCACTCCTACAGGGAAGAGAGGATTGGAAATGAGAAAAAATGATTGTGGTCCCTCGGAATTGGTAATTATCAATAATTATGGTAATGATACACGCAGGAGACAAAACATATGACGACGTAGGAAAAACTTGCATTATTACTACATCATCACATAAGGCTGTTTAAATGAGATATACATTGTGTTAGAGATTAATGACAGCAAATGTATGCGTCAAGACACCAGTGGGTATACACAGGGTTATTTAGTATAGTGAAAATGCAAAGGGCATTTCAAGTTTAAGGTAAAAGTAGCCGAAATGGAAAAATTCTCTAGGTCGGCTATACATCCAGTTCAGCTTATTTGGCCTTAGATTTGAAATTCACTTTGTGTTTTCACTTCAGTGAAT